TCGCCTCACCCCCAACGGCCGCCATCATCTCCATCCCCCGCCGCCGCCGCCGCACACCCCCCCCGCCCCAGCGTCACCGCTTCTCACCATGACGATCCGGGCCGCAGCGCCGCGCAGGTCCGGGCAAAGGATGAAAGAAGGAAAAAAAATTAAAAAAAATTACAAGCGTCCCCCACGTACGGAGCCCGGGCGACAGCGCCGACCTGCCCCGACCCGCCGCGATTCAAACTGCGTCCGCTCCCGCCTTCCCCCGGCCCTTTATAAGCGCCGACGGTGCCCGCATCCGGGAACCCCAGCCTCGCCCTTAGCCAATGGCTGCGGGCGGGGGCGGGCCACTCTCCCTCAGCGACATCCAATGGCGGAGCGGGGCGGGGCCGGCCCGGCGATGCGGGCTTCGGGAGAGGCCCCGCCCCTATTTAAAGGGCCAGGCGCCGGGACGACCGGCGAGTAGTGTGATGGAGATGGGGTGACTTGGGGGGGCTGAATCCCCGGCTGCGGCCCCTCAGCGCGGGGGGGATCCGGCTGCCCACCGGCGCAGCACCCCCCGACGGCACTACCTGGGGTGGAGCGGGCTCTCAGGGCGTGCCGGCCGCTGCCGGGCGGGGCAGTCACTTCATGGGTCCCCGCTAGCGGGTCTCGCCCTCCGAGAGCCGAGATCTGACGGGAATAACGTGAAATTAACGAAAAACTAGCGTCCCCGCCGTCGGTTGGGAGCCGAGACAGCCCCCCCGCTGGTCACCTCAGGCGGCCCTGCCCGCAGGCCGTCGCGCCCGGCCCTCTGTCGCCCAGGGCGAGGGGTGAGACCCGGGTGTCCCCTCAGGGAGAGGGTATGGGGCTCGGTGGGTCACCGGCAGGAGACGTGGTTGCCTGGTGTCACCGAGCACCCCAACTCACGTACTGGGGGTTATTGATGGCCGAGTCCTGTTCCTGTACCCAGCCTGGCTCTGCCATACCTTTTCCTCAAGCCCCTTTCCACCCCCCTGTAAAGCCTTCCCCAATAAAGTTAATTGGCTTGGCATGCAAAGCACCTCAGAAGCGGCCTGGAGGAGATTACTGTCCGGGGCTTGGGATGAGGAGCTATTACACCGCATTAGCGAAGAGAGGAGGCCGCCCGGTGACATTTGATGGAGGATGAAGTGGCATCTGCCCTTGGTGATGCTGGGGGCGGGGAGGTGCCAGCACGGCCACTGTCCCCCCCAACGGCCTTTATTTTTACCTCCATCTTGTGCCATCGGTGCGTGATTACCGAGGGCAACCCTGCCTCAGACCCGTTTGTCTCACGGGGTATTTCATGAACTCTGGTTAAAAACTGTTCACTGTGAATTTGGTTACAAGCGTAACATTTAATTAGAATCATAGAATGGTTAGAGTTGGAAGGGACCGTAAAGATGATGAAGTTCCAACCCCCCTGCCCTGGGCAGGGACACCTCCCACCAGACCAGGTTGCTCAAAGCCCCATCCAGCTTGGCCTTGAACACCTCCAGGGATGGGGCATCTACAGCTTGTCTGGGCACCCTGATCCAGGGTATCACCGCCCTCATAGGAAAGACCCTCTTACTAATATCCAATCTAAATCTCCCCTCTTCCAATTTAAAACCCTTACCCCTTGTCCTGTCACTCCACTGCCTGACAAAGAGTCTCTCCCCATCTCTCCTGTAGCTCCCTTCAGATATTGGAAGGCTGCTCTAAGGTCTCCCCGGAGCCTTCTCTTCTCCAGGCTGAACAACCCCAGCTCTCTCAGCCTGTCTTCATAGCAGAAGTGCTCCAGCCCTCTCATCATCTTTGTGGCCCCCCTCTGGACCCGTTTTTTCTATGTAGAGGACTCCAGAGCTGGACACAATTAATGCAGTGCAGATGTCCTCACCTTGGGCACTTCAAATCCCTGTCTGCATTTCTCTGAAATGAAGCCTTTGCTCCCCCCCTTTTTTTTCCCCCAATGCCATTTTCAGTATAGCGTCATTATTTCTACAAAAAAAGCAGCCTAGCCATCTAACCTCAGAGCTCAGCTGGGGGTGCTCTCAGTTAATCCACCGCCTTCAGCTCCCCTAAAGTAACAATTCATTGTGCTCTTCCAGAACACCATAAATCCCTGTTATCTGGGAGATACTCCGTTCATCTGGGAGCATGCCATGACCTCAGGGAGAAACCCTGGCCCTTCAATGCCTGAATAGCTCTCCAGAGGCAGGGCTAGCTCTGTCTGTCCCGTGCTTTACCAGTCTGATCACAAAACCACCACTTTAGTAGGCATTAATATATGTATTTCCTACACCTTGGTGTCGAAGGGTTCTAAGCGTGATGAGTGCTCTTACAGACAGACGTTTAATGGGAGACAGAGCCCAGGGCATACTTTTCCCCTTTTTTCGGGAAAGATCTACAAGTGAAATCCTTGGAACTCAAAGATAAAAGGGTACACGCTGATCCCTAGAGTTCCACTTCAAGGTCTTTCTGGCTGTTCACTGAAATAGCAATGATTTAAACTTTCATAGCTCTCCTGCTCCTACGGCTGATCCCAAATACTCGGTTCCCTGGATTCCACAGGACCCGTTGCTTCAGCCCGAGGCCACGTCGTCACAGCCTTCAACACCCGAGTCTCAGTTCGGGCATTTTGTGCTAGCTGCTCCCACTTGAGGGTTAGGGAGACCTACTTCCAGGCACGGAGCGGCAGGACCGAATCCAGAGCAGACACTCCTACGTGCAGGAATCTGGCAGTTTGTTTTTATGTAACTGTCTGGTGCCTCTCTCTATTTGAAGCATTAGCTGTTTGTGCTCTCCTTCAGCAAGCCAAAAGATAAGGAGGTTTGGGTTGTTTGGGGATTTTCTTTTTCTTTTTTTTTTAAGTTTAAAACCAAACCTAAATATTTTACAGAGGCCTGCAAAAGTTAAGATTTTATTCAACGTGCTATTTTTAAAATGATTTCTGCCCAAAGCGCCTACAACAAGGGTCCGTTTGCCCTTTTCCTCACAGGAAGAGAAGGCAACTTGCAGGCTGTAAGACCCTCTGGGAACGGCGTTTGAGATGGAGGAGGAGGAAAATTGATTTTTTTTTTTTCTCCCTGGTTTCTGTCCACAGAAGTGCTAGGGAGCGGAACAAAAAGGCCTCCTACCAGATGGAGATAATCCCTGACACAGACCTTCCCTGCTTCCCCAAGGGCTTGCTCGGGCTTTCAGCTGCTCAGGGGCTCCTTGCAGCTGGCCTTACGCAGGCAAGGCAGCCTAACACCAAAGGTTAAACTAGCCCGAGGATGTTTATTTACCAAATGGATCAGGGTAGGGACACCTCAGGTAGAGTACATGAAACCAGCCTCAGATGACCCTGTGCTAGCTAATGAGCCTCAACACAACCTGAGCTCTCCCCTCCCCGATATTTAAAGGGAGAGATTAAAACTCACTTAGGTACACCAGGAACAACCCCAAAGCAACTTCAGACCCAGCTGGGAGCACAAATAACTCAACCTCAATCCTACACAAAGAGAGCACTTACCACCTCCATCTTCCTAATGAAACCAGTTCCCCAACCTACCCCCAAATGTCTTATTCAGCTTTTGTAATGTAACCGCCTCACGGGGGAGAAGAATGGAATGCCTCAAGGGGGACAGAGCACAGTAATTGGCTTTTATCGGTTCAATTAACATTAATAGGTCCCTATTAAGGAAAGGTTAGGGGGAACCTGGTGAGGAAAGATGCGGTGTGAGTTACTGGGTAAAGATTACCTCCTCTTTGGAGACAGGGTTGTAGCTGAGGAACAGTCACCTGCTATGTTCTCAGAGTGCATTTTTTAACACATCTTAGAATTGGGGTGTAGGGCTGCTTTCCTTTCTATTCTGTCTACTACTTAATATGATTTCCTTGGAGACTAACACTCATTTTTACTCACCTCCAAATACGGATGCATTCTTTGAAGCAGGAACTGCTTCTCACCCCTCACTAACTACTGGGCTATAAACACAGTATTATTTGGACTGTCTCGAATTCATTTCTTGTGGGGTTTTAGTTTCTGCAGAAGTGGTGGAGATCACTTTCATTATTAGACTAATGGATGAAACGCTCCCAGAAAGCTCTGTGTATCACATCGTTCAGGGGACTTTGCAGTTTCTGGGTCCTGAATGAGTTTTTATGTGTGAAATACACACCTACGCGCTCAGCCCTGCCATGGTATTCCTGGGATACAAAGTTGAATATCTGGCAAACTTCAAAGCCACAGAGGAGAAGGTTATTTGAGGAAATAGGTTTTTTAGGTGACAGCGAAGCAGAGACAGTTTTTAGCCTGTAACCACCACTTATATTCATTTGAGGTCTATTTTTGTGGTGAGATCCATTGCAGTATGGCTTGTATTTGCCCCTGGGGTCCTCTCCCCTTGCAGAGGGCTTCCCTGCTGCCCTTTTGTGGGTCCTCTGTCGAGTAACAGGGTTCTGCTCGGGTGGGTCTCTCTGCAGTATTTGGGTTCAGGAAAATCACATCCTCTCCAGTTGCACTGTGGTGTTGTGCACAGTGATGAACGAACGCAACTGTTTGGTTTAACACATACATCTGTTAATCTGGAATCTGGAAACAGCTTTGTATGTCTCCGTAATAGATCTGCAGATAACACGTGTGTACTGAGTGCAGGGAGACTCGAACTGTCCTCATATCTACACTGGTGTTCATTGTACGCGCTTGTATCAACTATTGATAGCATCATAATGACTAGTCTGAGTATATTTTGATCTTGTTTAGCCAGCTGTAAAAGGAAGTTAGAGCTAGTTAGGCAAAATGAAATGAGAGTCTGCCAAGGATGGTCCCAACCAGAAGACCTTACCCTCATCCTTCCCATCATCTCATGCAGAAACTTATCCTTCTCCACTTATTTGTTGCTGTGTGCCTTGGTTCTCCCCATTACCCATATTTGAGCTCTGTTCAGTATAGTAACTGAAGAATATTTAGTTGATATTTTGTGTCGTGCTGTAAAGCGTTATGCAAGTACCTACTCCAACTGTTGTCGAGTTGGGGAACTCTCAGGGTGGATCTAATTTGCCCTGTGATACCTACACCCGGAGGACATTGCAATTAAGTAGGCTTGTACCAGTCGCAACACTTTAGTTATACCAATTTCTTTTCCTAAGAAAGCAACCTGGGAAAACCTTTTGGGCTAATTGCTCCTTGTTGTTTAATCCACCATCACTCCTAGACTAAGCACGGATTGCAAACAGTCTGTGCCTGAGGTGGTGGAGTCGTGGTGTTTGGTTTGAACTGGCACTGTGCTGTAAGCCTCTCTTATTTTGGTTCATTCTTT